GGAAGAAACGGAGGTAGTGAGAGATTTTATTTTCCTGGGCTCCAAGATCACCGCAGATGGGGACTGCAGCCAAGAAATTAAAAGGCGCTTGCTCCTTGGGAGGAAAGCTATGGCCAATCTAGACAGCATACTAAACAGCAGAGACATCACCCTGCCAACAAAAGTGCGTATAGTCAAGGCGATGGTTTTCCCAGTTGCAATGTGTGGCTGTGAAAGCTGGACCAGAAGGAAGGCTGAGAGCCGAAGGATTGAGGCCTTTGAATTGTGGTGAATTAGTGAATTTGTGTGGTGAATTAGTGAATAAAAGAGTAAGAAAAGCAGTACTGGGATACAATCTCCAAAATGACAGAATGAGCTCAGTTCAAATCCAAGGCAAACCATTCAACATCACAATAGTCCAAGTCTATGCCCCAACAAAAGATACTGAAGAGGCTGAAGTTGACTGGTTCTGTGAAGGCCTACAACACCTTCTAGAATTAACACCAAGAAATGATGTCCTCATCATCATGGGGGATTGGAATGCTAAAGTAGGAAGCCAAAAGATAACAGAATAACAGGCAAGTTTGGCCTTGGAGTACAAAATGAAGCAGGGCACAGGCTGGCAGAATTTTGTCAAGAGAACACGCTGGTCATAGAAACACTCTTTTCCAACAACCCAAGAGACAATTCTACACATGGACCTCACCAGACGGTCAACACAGAAATCAGATTGACTACGTACTCTGCAGCCAAAGATGGAGAAGCTCCATACAGTCAGTAAAAACAAGACCAGGAGCTGACTGTGGCTCAGATCATGAGCCTCTCGTTGCAAAATTTAAGCTTAAACTGAAGAAAATAGGGAAAAACACTACACCACTAAGGTATGACCTAAATCGTATTCCTGATGAGTATACAGTAGAGGTGACCAATAGATCTAAGGAATTAGATCCGATAGACAGAGTGGCTGAAGAACTGTGGACAGAGGTTTGCAACATTGTACAAGAGGTAGCAACCAAAATCATCCCAAAGAAAAAGAAATGCAAGAAAGCAAAATGACTGTCTGAAGAAGCTTTACAAATAGCTGAGGAAAGAAGGGAAGCGAAAGGCAAGGGAGAAAGAGAAGGATACAGCCAAATTGAATGCAGAATTCCAGAGAATAGCTAGAAGAGATAAGAAGGTCTTCTTAAATGAACAGTGCAAAGAAATAGAGGAAAACAATAGAACAGGGAAGACTAGAGATCTCTTCAAGAAAATTGGAGATATGAAGGGAACATTTCATGCAAGGATGGGCATGATAAAGTAAAAAATGGCAGGGATCTAACAGAGGCAGAAGAGATTGAGAACTACAAAGTCTGAAGGCTGAGTCAGCTTTGGCGCCATCAGGAGAGGGCCAGCAAAGAAGGACTCCTCGGGAAAAAGGGACTCCTCTCGAGTAGGCTCTGGCCAGATTGCTCTAACTGACCTGCAGGTGAGCCCTGGGTGGGGCTCATCAGGCCCCGGTGATAAAAACCATCAGCGCAGGGCTAGCCGGCTTTCATTACTGTGCTGTTGTTGGTGCTCCAGGGCCTTCTGCCTTGTCTGCCAGCTCTTGTGGCGCGACGGATGCTCCTGACCTCAGGACTTTGGCTGGATGCTGCTTCTGGACCAGGTAAGCTACTGTTTTGTCTTGCTTTGTTTCTTACCTGTGCCTGTTCTCGTAGCCACCCCTGCTCAGGCTTCTCCAACATATCTTATAATTCCAGGTGTGCTTTGATCTCTGCTACCTTCACTGCGCTCTACTTTGCTGTGCCTTCCCCTGCTGGACAGAAATCCGCCGTTTGGACTGCACCTTTTCTCAGCGTCTGTTTCAGTCGGAGTAGGACGGCAACAGGAAGTTTGGGTGAACAGACGCTCTGCCCTGCAGGCATCCTTTCCTGGGTAGGAGGAAACCGGCAGCTGAAGGGACTTTACTGTGCCTGAATGAACTTTCTTGCGGACTGGTGTGACTGTGTTCTCACTGGACCAGAGTCACTCTGGCTTCTTTGACTTCAGAGTATTTCAAATGTTTTGTATTGTATCTGTAATGGATTCTGATGCATTGTAACGCGTTTGGCTTGTACTGTGTTGTGTATGCGATGCATTGTAACGCGTTTGGCTTGTACTGTGTTGTGTATGCGATGCATTGTAACGCGTTTGGCTTGTGTTGTGTATGCGATGCATTGTAACGCGTTTGGCTTGTGTTGTGTTGTGTATGCGATGCATTGTAACGCGTTTGGCTTGTGTTGTGTTGTGTATGCGATGCATTGTAACGCGTTTGCGTTGAGTCGCTGTTGGTTTGCGTTGAGTCGCCGTTGGTTTGCGTTGTGTTTTGTCTAACGGTTTGGATTGTATTGCATCGCAAATGGACTGTAGTATCTCTGGGGGAAAGGACTGTGTGATGCTTGAACTATCAATTGTGAAGGAGACAAGGTTCAACTGCAGCCAAAAATTACAGGACTATCTGAAAAAAAATGGACATCAGACATTTTTTATCTTGGATTGCATCTGAGATGGACTGTACTGTATTGTATCTCAGGGATTTTATCTGAAATGCTTTGTATCTCTAATGGATTCTATTGCATTGTCTCTAATGGATTGTGTTGCGCTGTGTTGTATCTAACGGTTTGCATTGTACTGTATTGTATTTATCCAATGTATTGTATCTGCAATGTGTTGTATTTTACACTAACTCTGGAGGACAAGGACTGTGTGATGCTTTCAACTTTCAATTGTGGTGAAGAAGTTACAGGACTATTTGAAGAAGAAGAAGAAGAAGAAGAAAACATTTCCAGAAATGGACATCTGATGCTTTGTATCTCAGAGGAACTGTATCTGAAATGTTTTGTATTTCAAATGATTTGTATTTTATCTCTAATGCATTGTATTGTATCTGTAATGTATTGTAATGCTAATGTATTGTATTGTATTATATTGTGTTGTGATGTATTATATTGTGTTTAATGGGTTGTATTGTGTTGTATTGTCTTGCATTGTATTGTATTGCTAATGGTTTGTGTTGTGTTGCATTGTATTGTATCTAAAAAGTTGTTTTTTTTGTATTGTACCACTAATGGTTTGTATTGTATAGTGTTACATTGAATGGTATCTTTAATGGTTTGTATTGCATTGTATTTCCAATGGATTGTACTGTATCTAATTTGTTCTATATTTTGTTTTGTATTGTGTATCTAATTCTTTGCATTGTGTTAGGGTGAGTTGTATTGGACTGTAGTATCTCTAGGGGAAAGGAACTGTGTGATGCTCGAACTTTCAATTGTGAAGGAGACAAGGTTCAACTGCGGCCAGAAATGTACTCCGGATTGCAAAAAAGGGAACTTGAATACACAGAGCAATAGGTACATTGGTGACTCAATTTTAGGGGGAAAAGGACACAGGACAGATGGGAAATAATGAGAGAAGAATCTCCCAGCACTACAATGAACAATTCCAATGAGGAAGAAGTGCTGAAGAAAAAAGCTACAGAACTATCGAAAGAAAGAAAAAACTTTTGCAGAAACTGATATCTCATGTTTTGTATCTCAGAGGGATTGTATCTGAAATGTTTTGCATGTCAAATGTATTGTATCTCCAATGCATTGTATTGTATCTGTACCAGGTTCTATTGTGTTGCATTGTATCTCTAATGGTTTGTATTTTTTTATTGTGTTGCATTGTATCTCTAATGGTTTGTATTTTTTTATTGTGTTGCATTGTATCTCTAGTAGTAAGTATTGTGGGGGGTTTCTATGATGTATTGCTTGGACTGCAAGGCGCTCAAACCAGTCATTCTTAGAGGAGATCAATGCTGACTGTTCTTTGGAAGGCCAGATACTGAAGATGAAACTCAAAAACTTTGGCCACCTAATGAGATGGAAGGACTCCCTGGAGAAGAGCCTGACGGCAATAGATGGCAGAAGGGGACAGCGGAGGATGAGGTGGCTGGATGAAGCCGTCGGCGTGAGCTTGAGTGGACTGCGGGAGACGGTGGAGGACAGGAAGGCCTGGAGGAGCATTGTCCATGGGGCTGCGATGGGTCGGCTGCGAGTTCGTGACTAGCAAGAGCAACAACTAAACTCGGACCATCTTTCTTTGCCTGCGTTGCTGCAGCACAGAACTGCCAGTCTGACCATGCATGAAGCCTGCTTTCTCCTCAGGTGGGTTTGTCCAAAGACCACTGCTGGGATATTTGGTCACCTATGCACTGCATTTCCTTTTGTTTTTGGCAGTTCGTAGATGTCTGCTCGGGATGGCACATCCTGCTCTTTCTGAGGGGTAAAAAGGGGGAAGCAACCCCTGTCTGAGAAATAGGGTCAGGGCTGAAACTTTCATCTTGTTGAGTGTGAAGTTGACCCAGGCCCTGCTTTCTGTAGTAAAATACTCTTTCTTCCAGTTGTCTTGAGCCTTAACACTTCATAATAAAGGATGTAAAACCTCTTTTTGCATTTAACTTTCACCCTCTCCCTTTCTTTGCTGTTAAAGAATTAACAGTTTTTGCATTGTATCCTTATATGCTGCAACTCAGAGTTGTCAAAGAGATTTAACTATGGGAATAAAATGTATCACAAAAGTAACAAAAATCCAAGTCACAATGCAAACTAAGAACTGCCACAAAGAAAGCAGGTACCCTAAATGGGCTGCCACGTGAAAAGCCTCGAGGGTAAGGACGGATACAAATTCATCTAACTGTAGCATTGGCTTCGTATCCTGCCCTTCACCTTGCCAGCAAGGTCCCTTGCATTATATTTGACAAACTGGATTTATACTCCGTTCGTGCCCCATACCTAGATATCAACAAGCAAACCCGTTGGGCGTGAGAGGCACCCAAGTGAAGGGTTTGAACATGTCCCCCAGAACCAGAGATAGGAGAATAGCCATGTTCTAGCCCCCCCTCCTTCGCAAGTGCTGCGGTTATCTAATTGGTACGTGAGCTTAACCGTAGGGTTTGCTTTCTTTAGAAAATGAGCCAAAAGGAGTGTGCCCCTTGCTGCTTTTAAGCCATTCCTCGGTGGCTGTTGATCGAACCGAGAATGTCAGTGCTGTGACATTTTCTGAACTGGACAAGATTTAATGAGGCAGCGAGTTGTGCCACCCTCTCCGTGTTGCTTGCCACCACAACTCTCCACGAATTGATGTGGACTCCATCCCCTGCTGCCCTGTGAAGCATGACGTGACCACACTGGTTTCTTTTTCAGGCAACAGCAAGTTGCGGTGACAAAAGAAAGGGGCCCTTGATCCTACGAGGCCATCCCTCCTCGCAGTGATCCCCGTGGAGGAAAATGCTGCTGGCACTGCGCGCTTACCGTTTCCCAGGGATCTCTCTCTGCGCCTACGGCCGGTGCCTTCAGAACTGCTGCCCCGTGCAATCCCGGCTTTGCTTCTCCTCCTCTGCGAAGATGAATAATGTGCGGGCTTTGGGGTTCCCCAGCACCCCACCCTGGACAGGGGCGGCATTTTTCCGCATGCAGAAGCAGGCCCTGTGGCGGATCTTGAGGGCGGGGGCACCTGGCCCCCCTCAGAGCCCGAGTTTGACGGCCCCCGCAGGGCCCGGCACGTGCCGCCGGCGGGGCGATGCCGTCACAGGCCGCGCTGGAGGGAGTCGCGCGCCGCGTGTGGGCGGGGGTTGGGAGGGGGCGCCGTTGCTAGGGCGAGGAGGAGGGCTTCCGGTGCCCCCGATGCACCCGGAAGCGCTTCCTCGCAGCGTCGCAAGCGCGAAGATGGCGGCGGAGGAGCCTCAGCAGCCGCAGCCGGAGCCCCTCGGCGGGGACACGGACGGTAACGGAGGGGCGGGGGCCGGCGGTGTCCCGGCGCGGCGGGGGGCGGGCCGCCGTCCCCGCCTTGCGGCCCGTTCGTCTCCGTGGGAACGGGCCCCTTCCCCGGCGCTCCCCGTCCTGGCTGCCCGGGCGGGCGGGCGGGCGGGCGCCCGCCTGCTCGCCGGCGCGTGGCCTCCTTGGCAGCGGCGCCCGCGCCCTCCGGGCCAGCAGGGCTCTCCGCCCGCGATCGCTGCGGCGACGGCGCCCCTGCCTTCCCCGCCTGCGCCTTCCCGGAGGAGGAGGAGGAAGGAACCCGAGGCCCGGCCCGGCCGATGTTCGGGTTTTCCTGGCAGAGCCCCTTGTTTTTTTCCTCCGTGTTCCTGTCCACGACGTTGATACCTCGCCTCCCCACCCCCAGGAGACGACAGCATCTTATACAGTCCTCCCCGGTTTCTCTCCGTTTTTACTGCCACAACTATCCCGAGGTAGACGAGGCTCTGCGAGGAGCCACCCCCAGTGGGCTTCGTGGCTGAGCGGAGAGCCGAACCTGGATCTCTCCAGCCGAGACGCCGCGCTGGTTTTCCTTCTCACCCCCAAGGAAAGGGAAATAATTAAATTTTTCAGCCCTGGAATGCAGACAGGTTGCCTCCTTCCTTGGGAGAGGACAAAACCCCAAATCCATCTCTCTTTGGTCGTTATTAATGGTGCAATCTGTGTGTGCATTAAAAGGACGAATAAAGGTGGCTATTCAGGGCAAACTTTCTGAATAGTGAGCCTCATAAAAAATAGTGTACTGTTGAGTCTGTACTATGCAAGTGTCCAGTTGTGCTCGTAAGGTGATCCAAAAGCAGCATAATTTGAAAAAAGCAGGAGCTTAGGATGTGGATGACTGAGCATTGTGGGAGGGTTTGTTTGTTTAGTAAATTTAGCTAGACTTGTGTTGGGGAGGTTTACCAACCGCAACTTCATCCATGTGCATATCAGGGCTCAAATACTTAACACTGAACACAGTGGGGTTGACTTTGGAGTAAACGTGCATAAGATCGTGTTATTCAAGAGTCTCGCTCTCCCAGGAAATCTTAGTTTTCATAGGTGATTATTTGATGTGGCCATGTGGGTTTTCCCAACGAAAATAGCAAAGGACAATGAGAGGCCTGCAGATGTATTGTGTTGAATGCTTTGTGTGGACTACAGTCCATATGCCAAATGCATGGAGTATTACGCTCGGCGAAATGGGCAAAGTGAATGGATGCAAACTGCATACAGTGGGGTCAACTAGCCGTGAGAGGAGGGGGGGAATAGCTTGTGAGTTTTCTTTGCAGAATGCATACATGAAGACCATTCATTGTGGTGGTAATCCTGCATTCACTGATCTTATACTCGCTCTGCCAATTTAGCACGGTTAGTGGCAGAGGTAATCCTGGTCTTGACTGAGCCCTAAACAAATAGTGTTGAACTTGCTGGCCTTATGCACTTTTAGTCAGTTTTGTTTAAAAAAACACAAGGTTACTGTAATGGTCTGTGAACGACGAACTACTCAACAGCTTTTTTAATAAAACGGATCTGCGGACCTTCAGCATGTACTTTTTGCCTAATGGGTCTGCAGCATCTCTCCTGGCCCTCTAGCTTTTCTTCTGGCCACTTCACAGCACCCTGATGCAAGCAGAAAAATTTAAGGGGAAGGTTCCAGCACCTTACTTCCATGGCATGTACAGCTTTATCTGATTTTTTGCAGCACCGACTACTCTGGGGGTGGGAGTGGAGGGCTCCTTTTGCGCATCTGCCTACTCTGTCTGTGCTCCCCCATTCCTGTGCCCCCTTTACTATTCTAGGGCCTTCCCTGGTGATGCTAGGCCAGAAATGCCATGTTCCTGCTGGAGACTGTGGCTCTGTGAAGAGACTTTTGGGCATGCTTATTTTCATGCTGTATGCAGCATCTTTCTGCCCCTGGCTGCCTCTAATACACACAGCCATTGAGTGTCGATGTCCCATTTACAGTGTTGGGTTCTTGCGCAGTATGCTAGACTTCATTTGTTTCTGCCATATTGGCGGGATACTGGAACGTGGCCTAATGAAGAATGGTTAACTTACGCTGAACCAAGTCACCATCCTCTTGGGATCCAGGCTGCCTCTGCTGTGTGCAGCCATTCCAGTATCTTTAAAAAATAAACACGTGAGCAGTGAATGAAATACACAGTCAGCTGTGTTTGAGATCATCAAATGGAATTCCCCCTTGATGGATTTTGCATCTCTCTTATTTTAAGTAGTTTCTTCAGCCACTTGTGCCGCACAGATTCTGTTGAAGGCAGCTTTAGAAAGGAAGGTCTTTACTGCTCACCTGAACGCTTGCAAGGAGGGCTTGGAGGCACGTCGACAAGAAGGACATTTTGCCTGCTTCTGGGCACTGCCAGCTGACTGGGTATCCAGTCCACTTGATGCCTTGCAGTGCAATGTGCTGTCTCCCGGTCTCTCTGTCCACCGGTTTCTTGTGCTGATGGTTTCCCCCAGCTCCCCTTTGGCTTACCTACTTGTTCCCTTTTGCAAAAACAGGTTTGACTGGATTGTACAAAGTACCTCAACTGGCAGCTGAATCTGGGCCTGCTTTCCAACTTTTTAGTGGCCCCACTCCTGTGCCTTTGAATGCCCCCCCCCCCAGAAATTAAGTGGGCTCAGCTTGCTCCATCATTTTTACCTCTGGGCTAGGAAATGCTTCTCCTGCTAATACAACATCTCTCCTAGTCAGGGATGCTGCTGAAGGTTTCTCAGCAGAGGCCCCATAAAATGCTTTGCAGCCGTAAGATTGGGGGAGGGAAGCCTCCTCCTAGCATAGATGTGTTGGGTTGTGAGTGGCCTTGCTCCTTTATTCTCTGCTTGTACCTCCCTTGTCATAAATCAAAACCAGAATGTTGCCTGCTGAAACTCTGGGCCTGTGGAAGAAAGCAAGGCCCTTCAAAGGCTCCCTACCTTCTTCCTGCTGGATCTAAGAAGCTGCTGCCTGTCACGAAGTACCATGGTCCTTTTTCCAGGTTCGAGAACGGCTTTCCAGATGTGTTGGGTTAGGGTGGGATTTGTAGTCCCACACATCTGGGGAAAGCCTGTCCTAGAAGTACACAGTTACCCTCCTTTGGTGCTGCATTGGATTGCCGGCTGGAGTTGCGATGGCAGCCGTGTGACCTAGTTTGCACACGAAAAAACACGCTGCTCTGGCCTTTCTCCGGTGCATCTTGCATGTGGCTTCTGTCCTCCGAGGTTCTCGAATGAACCTCGTCCAAGTATCCGAGTGGAGTGTTGGCTGACCCAGTCTTGGAGGGGGAAGTCCCAGGTGGAGCATGCCCCATTTCTCCACACTTCTGTGGCCAGGGAGGGAGGGAGGGGTGTTGGGGGGGGGCATGTGCAGCCTGCCGTCCTGACTGCAGGAGGGGAAGCGGTAGTGCTCTGTCCCTGCCGAACTGCAGTAGCATCCCTGCATCCTGGGCTCCGATGATGATGTGATGATATGGAATGGCCCCAGACTGATTTTCTGTGCTGCTGAAGCTGCTGTGAGTGGATGATGCTGGAGGAAGCATTTGACTGTGTTGCAAAGCAGGCCCCCTTCCACATGGGCTGCATTTCGGGATGCACGTGTGGTGCGTGTTGAGAGAGACAGACAGACAGACTCTGGTTCTGCAGTAGTGGAGTCTGCGTACGCAAATGGAGACCCCTCTGGGGCCTGACGGCATCCACTGCTGGGAAAGCATTGTTCTCAGTGCAGCTTGGCATGCTAATAAGGCGGGGGTGAACCACTTGTTCAGTGCTGGGGGCCCCATTCGCAAGCGTGGTTGCAAGCGGAAGGGCTGCAGCTGAGGTGCAGCTTACAGCGTGCCTTTCAATACACTCCTTGCAGCTTTCTGGTTTTTCTTTTCCTTTTTCGGTGAGGCCAGGCCTGGGAGTTGACGGGTAAGCTCTTCTGAAAACGTGGCCTGCTGAGGTGTGAAGCGTATATCAAATGATACATTCATAGCTGAAGTGCTCCGTATGATGGAATGAGGTCTATATTTAAGAATAGAAGTATGAATGCGCTACAGATTTCAAAATCCATTAGAGCTAAAAATGGTAATGAATTGGCATCTTTGTTTTCCTCCTCCTCCTCCTCTTTTTCCATTTGTAGTTTGCTGCATTGTTTTTGATCTCTGGCTTTGTTGCCATTTTATTTCCAAGCCTTATGAACTAGGGAGTTAAGTTCAATTTTGTTTTGTGATATATCCTAGAACAACAAGTTTATCTATTACAGGCAGCTGAGAGAACATGTAAAGTACTGACAAGATCAAGCTGGTGTGAAGGGACCTTCCGCTCAATGGCATTGTTCTGTTCTTTTCCAGGAGTGAATTGTTTGGCCTACGATGAAGCCATAATGGCCCAGCAAGATCGAATTCAGCAGGAGGTGAGTGCTTGGAGACACCAAGGCTGGCCTGCTTGGCCTAGTTGCTGCTGCATGACTGTAATTGTTTGTTTTAATTCTCCAGCAAAGTGGACTCTAACTGCCCCCGAATCCAGTTTTTCCCCTTCTAGTGTTTCCTCCTAGGATCTGGTAGACAACCCGGTGCATTCTGGTTGGTTTGGACTGCAGTTCCCATAAGCTCCAGTTAGGGTGGCCAGTGGTCAGGAATTAAGGGGTGTAGATCAAAACACACATAGGACCCTAAGTTGTTCGCCTGTCTTGACAACATGATGATCCCTGTGGCAGCGCTGACCCGGGGCTGCTTCTTCCCTGGGTGGACGTTCCACAGTTGCATCACAGCTGGGGTGGCCTTCCTCAGACCTGGGCAAGGAATTGATTTAGTCTGCTGCAGTAAGCCATGGTTTATATCACAGTTCCAGCATCCTGCCCCAGCTTCCCTTTTTCTGCCCAGGCATACACAGGGTTGGTTACTACAACATCCAAACTGGGCCTGTTTTCAACAAAACTGAACCCAGGAACATCACCTGGAATCTGTGGCTCTTCCTTCCTCACCACAGGGGTATCAGGAAAGCGAGTATCGAGCCATGTTTGATCAGTCCAGCAGTCTGTCCCCACAGTGGCCCCCCAATGCTCTGGGGAGCTAACGGAGAGCACGAAAGCAGCACCTGCCGCTCCTTCATGTTCCTAGTGTGCAGCCACTGAAATTAGATGGCAGTCGTTGCGAATACGAGCTACGGTTAGCCATGAGTTTGTCTGATCTCTTTAAAACTGCCAGGGAACCTGGTACATCCCGCAGCTGGATCTGGCCTCCTGGGAAGAAGCTCTTTGATCTGTCCTGAATATCCCAGCATTCAGCTTCATAGCATGACCCCTTTGGTTCCAGTCTTACGGGAGAGGGAGAAAAACATCTCCACATTCTCCACAACATGTATAATTTCATACGTAATTTTAGGAGAGCACATGTGAAATTAAGGGTTTCCAATTGATTGTTTTCTCCAAAATTGTTCCCAGGACTGGCCAGCAGCAAGGGCCAGTAGATACTGGTTGGAACAGTGTTCCTCTTTGATGTGAAAATGAATGTCCTTGTGGTTTGGGTCTGGCCAGCCAGATGATTATAGCTTGTCCAACACATGCAATTGATAATGCATCCTCTTACTTGTCCTGAAAGGTTTGGCTCTGCACCCGGTTCATTATTTGTCATCAGAAGGCAGGCCCCAAGTCAGTAGAGGGCTCAGAGATTATGTCTGTAAAACTTAAATTTAATCTCCGGTCTTGCTAATGCAAAAACTGTCATGGTGGTTTGGTTTGTTTTGACTTCTCAAGGAACCCCCATGAGTTCTGATTAGGGCTAGAAGCAAAATCAAATAACCGATACCTGACATTTCTTCAGTGTTGCATCCTGCAGTTTTGTTGGGCTACGACTCCCACTACCTCCGGCTTGCATGGCCAGGTGATGGGAGTCGGGAGTCCAAAAACTGTGTGGTGTCAAGGTTAAGAGTGCTAGGCTGGGATGCAGGAGATCTGGGTTCAAGGCCCCACTCAGGCATGGGGCATGCTGGGTGACTTTGGGCCAGTCACCAGTGCTCAGCCCCACCTGCTTCACAGGGTGGTTGTTGTGGGGATAAGACTGAGGTGGGGAGGAGAATGGTGTGACCTCCCTTGAGAAGGAAGAAAGCTGGGATGGAAACATAATCATAAAAACACCTGGAGTGTGTCACACTGGGAGAAGCTGTCCTAGATTCTGTATTCTCAAGGTAGAATAGCAGTTCTTGCTTTGGAGCCTCTTCGAGTGTCCCAGAATGTATCTTGTGCCAAGGGAGACTAACTCAGTTGTGTCTGTGTTACTCCTCCTATGCTGCGTCTGAAAACTGTTAACTGACTGCAGGCTCCAGGGCTGTGAAGCCTTGCCCAGCTTTGCTCCCCCTGCAACACCCAGCCAGACGCTGAGTTTGGAGCTCTCAGAAGCTTGCTCAGGACTTTGGCTGGTCCTAGAAAAGGTTTTGCCCCACTTGTGCTTTTCCTGTGATTATATTACCTTCAAGTAGCATCTAAAATATTTTGTCTTTTAAGGTGTGCTTGATAAATAAGCTGTTTTTTAAAAAACATACAGAAAAACCGATGATTCAAAAGAATCATTCTCCCTGCTGAGTTCAGGTCCTCAGCTGATGGGCGTGCATTCCCCAGCTGACAAGTGTGTTTGTGTCAACTTGAAGGAATCAGTTATTCCTGACAATTGCTAGTGTTCTGTTACCTGTCTCCCCGCTCGCCCCTGTGTAAAAGTCATAGTCGTGTAGAAACAGAGCTGCTGGCGCAGGAAGGATGGCCGTTCTGTGGCAGGCACCCTGGACCAGGCCGTGGCGCGGGCATCTCCCCCTGCCCCAGATCCCAGAGCGCAGCTTGTTTTTCGCAGATTGCCGTTCAGAATCCTCTCGTCTCCGAAAGGATGGAACTGACAGTTCTGTACAAAGAGTATGCCGACGACGATCACGTCTACCAGCAGAAGATCAAGGTGAGCGCCACGAGCGGCTGCCTGCACTGTCCAGCCTGCACTGCAAAGAGCGGCTGCCTGGGCACGGGGCTTCCGTGCCCCCTCTGGGTGGGGAGGGCCTCAGGTGAGCCCCTCTCGGCGGGCCTCCTCTGGCCGTGACTCGCTCTCCCCGCCGGCACGGCCCCCTGCTGACTTTGCCCTGCGTCTCATCATCGCGATGGCTTCCTTCCTTCCTTCCTGCCAGGCAGCGGCATCTGCCGCCACTGCTCCTCTCAGCCTCGTTGCCTGGGCCGGAGCGAGAGGCAGGAGGACCAGCAGGTTGCTGTGGGGAAGGAGCGGAGGAGTGAGCCCCCGAAGCTTTGTTGATGGATTTCTGGGGCCAAGCCTGCGGCAACCAGCAGGCCCGTTGCTGGGTACGATGGGAGTTGGCATCCCGACACATCCAGAGGCTGTCTGGGTGGGGAAGGCTGGCGTGGATGGGATTCAGGGGAAGGGGGCTTATCTGGCATTAGTCGTGTGGGCGCAGTGGCGCTCCAAGTTCCAGAGTTCCAGCTGCTGGGAGGGCCGCTGCCTTCGTGCCCTGCTGTACTAAGTGGAGCTGAGGGCGAGACAAGGAGGTGCCTGGGAGGATGCCCCGCAAAGGCCGTACCCAGGCCCGCCCCTGCACTGCCCATGTGGGACAGCTGCCTTGAAAGAACGGCCCCACCAGAGCCTCTGAGGGGTGGGCAAGAACCCAAGGCCTGGCTCGAAGCAGGGTGATTCCGCGGTTTTTCAGGGCATCAGCGCGCTGCTCTCCAGCCTGCTTCCAAAGCGGAGTCTGTGGCTGGGCGATGGGGGTGGCATGAACGCGGGGCAGGCAGCTCCTCGCGTCGGCTTTTGCTGGCTCCCGAGCCAGCCAGGTGACCATCTGCTTCTCTTTGCCTTCCCTGCATAGGATCTGCTGAAGAAGTATTCGTTCATCCGGAAGACGAGGCCAGATGGCAACTGTTTCTATCGGGCGTTCGGCTTTTCCCACCTTGAGGCGCTGCTGGAGGACAGCAAGGAGCTGCAGCGGTAGGACGGGGGGCCGAGGGAAGAGGGTCGGGTGAGGGATGTGGAAGCATCCCTGTTGCGGCTGGGAAGCGTGGGTTGGTTGGCTCCCAGGCTCTGTTCCACGTTTTCACAGCCCTGTCCAGGTTCCTGGTGCGCACACCCAGCGTCCGTGGGGCGCTCGCCAGGAACTGAGCCCCACGCTCTATGCAGACAGCGTCCCTCTTCCGTGCAGCTGTCCGTCCATCCGTCCGTTCGATTTTTATCCTGCCCCCTTAGCCTTAAGCTCTTCAGCCCTAAGACTCCCTGCACACAGTGTGGAAAAGGTTGCCATTGTGCACCTTTTCCTTGCAGGCTTCCTCTTGGCTTGGCTCGCCTTGCTTTGCAAACCTGGGCCAGGCCTGAGTGCAAGTCCACAAAGGTGAGAGGGACAGATTCTGATCAGCTTTGCTCCAAGCCTAGTTTTGCGGTGGGCTTTCCAAAATGTTGATGTAATGCAGGTGGCAGTTTCCTGCCAGCTCCTGCAGCCTGAGCCCTCGGCGCTTGCAGGGACGTGACGCCGGTGGTATTTGTGCTTCGTTTCACACAGCTTCAAAGAAGTAGCTGCCAAAAGCAAGGAAGTACTAGTTTCACAGGGATTCACGGAATTCACCATTGAGGACTTCCACAACATGGTAAGGCCTGCTCAGATACAGGGATGCCTTGAGGCGGCGTTCCCTAGCCCAGTGCCGTCCAGTCGTGTTGGACTCCCTGAAGCGATGGGGGCTGCAGTTGAGGAAGGCTGCCTGAAGGAAAGGGTAGGAGGAGTACGGGGTATAGTTGGAGGTTCCAGTCAGGGAATAGAGATGACCTTGGGAAATTCGCTTCCTCTGCTCTCATCGTAGGCCTTGCATCTGTTTATGGCAGGCACTATAGAAACCTTTTTAAACGCCAACCGGTAGTGTTGTAGAACTGAAGAAGATGCACTGAGGTGATATTGAGGCGCTCAGAACCTTCCCCTTTACTGCCAAAAGAAATGTGGTCCCGGGTGCTGGCATTTTCACGTCTCTTCCCTCTGCTGCCCGTTCTTTCATCCCTCTTGTTGTCCGGTACGTGCGCGTCCTTTGAATCGTGTCACCCCTGTCAAGTGCAGGTTATCAAAGACGCCAGCTCAGCGCTGAGGGAATTTTTCTGATCTCTTAAGTGTTCAGAGACCTGGGGCTATTTTCAGGTTCTGGCATTCTCCCCTCCGCTCCCCCTTCAGCTACAGCCAGTGCAGAGTGCTGAACTGAATACTAGCAGCGGCAGGCATCAGACCCGTCTTTTAAGGCTTACTGCAGATGGCAAGAAATACACACAGACAAAGGGCCTGCTGCAAAGCTTTGCCATGGAAGCATCCCGTCTGCACAAGTCTAAACCCCCACGTAAATGGGACATACAAAGCCATAACAAATACTTTTTAAAAACCGTAGGAGCTAAGAACAGCTAATCGGGGGCAAACCAGAACTCGGTGCCTGTGATGAGACAGGCCTGTAAAGCGAGGTGGGGAGATTTATGGCCCCTGTCGCAAGAGGATGGGCTTCCCCCCCGAAATTCACCCCCGCAGATTGCGCCTGGGAAAGCCCCGAGCTGCTGCTTCCCAGCAGCTGCTGTCTAAAGGTAGACAGTCTCTGGACGCGGAGGTTCTATCTAGCCATGGCTTTTGGCCACAATAGACCTCACATCCTCCATGCGCTTGCCTGATTTCCCTTGATAGCCTGCTAAGCCAGCGGCTCTCAGCTTGTGGCAGTGGATTTTGTAAATCAATTGTGCGTCAGTGTGAAAGACTCTACTGTGCCTGGTGCCCAGTTACTGAGTTGCACTCGTAAGTTGGGAAGAACTTCCCCACTCTCTCTCTCCTCGCACCACACACCCTTTAGGCGTTGGCCATTTTTCTCCAAAGCTTCCCCTTGCAGCGAACGTCATGTGAACACGCCTTCTGACCAGTGGCATCCCGCCTGCTGGGCGGCTCTCCCGGTCTGAGAAGCAGACACGTGAATGTCCCTTGAAAATGCTCCTGTTTACTAAGGATTTCCCTGGCTTGTAATAGAATGGTGTTTTTTCCGGTTGCAGCCTTTGGTCTGGAAATGCTGGCACCTACGGGCCTTTTTTCTAGGATTGCGCCTGTAACGTGTTTACGGTTTTGCATTGCTTTTTACACTGCATTCTTTGCATTTTTCTGGTAACCCTCTTAGAAATCTTAGAATATTAAGTGGCACATACGTAGTTAAAATAACTTCTGGTCCCTTGCTCTTTTTAGGGGTGTCCTTTCCAGTGAGGTTCTTGGTTCTTAAATGTACCGGTGCCCCCGAATGCCTGTCCAGTTGCGTTTGTAGCGGTCAGTGGTGCCTCCCAGGCAGCTGCCACTTCGCATTTCTTGCAGTGATGCGACCGCAGGGCATTCTGGGGAGATGACCGTGCAGGGTGGTGCACCACAGCCCACCGGGGGTGTTGGCAAGCGAAGGGCAGGGCGGGCAGGAAGGCCTTGGGTGGGTCAGGAGGCGACCCCTTGCTGGCATCTCTTTTCCTTTGTCCTAACAGTTCATGGACCTGATAGAGCAAGTGGAGAAGCAGATCACAGTTCCGGAGCTGCTGGCCTCCTTCAACGACCAGAGCACCTCGGATTACCTGGTCGTGTACCTGCGATTGCTCACCTCCGGGTACCTGCAGCGCGAGAACAAGTTCTTCGAGCACTTCATCGAAGGGGGACTCAGCATAAAGGAGTTCTGCCAGCAGGTCAGGCGTGTGTGGGGTGAGGCGGGGTGGGGTGAGGGAGCTAAGCTGACGCGAGGATGGAAGGCAGGCCCAGAAGGCCGGGGCTCCTAGGCAGCTTCCTGGCCTTTTCCGTAGCTCTTTTACCATGGCCTTTCTGATTTGGGCGAATAGCCCCACCACAGCTGAACCTAGAAGTCCTCATACGTATCAGTTCTGTGCAACTAGAGAGCCCCACAGGGTGCCTCGGACTCCAGCCTCCTGGGGCTAAAAAAAATTCTTAAGGAGGTTGTCAGTAAAGCGCTGAGCTGGCAGATTCGGGTGCTGCGGAGCAAAGGGCTGCCCGCCAGGCATTAGTTTCAGGCACGTTCCTTTCCTCTTTGCCTCACCAGGTGGTGTGATTGCACTGCCCAGTTACTGCCCAGTCAGCCCGCTCTCTGGCTGTCACACTCAGCAACCTGAAGTTCTGTTTCTAGCCCTCATGATTGGTGGCCAGTAGAGAATTAGAAATCCCGAGCAGGGCCTAGTTTGGACAGGCCTTCTCCGGGGGGGGGGGGGGGGCAGCACTGCTCAACCTTGCTCTCTTGCCTCTCGGCAGCGCTTGAGGAGGGTAACGTTGCCCTGTGCCTCCCTGTCTCTCTTCCAGGAGGTGGAGCCCATGTGCAAAGAGAGCGACCACATCCACATCATCGCGCTGGCCCAAGCCCTGAACGTCTCCATCCAGGTGGAGTACATGGACCGGGGCGAGGGCGGCACCACCAACCCCCACATCTTCCCCGAGGGCTCGGAGCCCAAAGTTTATCTACTGTACAGACCGGGACACTACGACATCCTGTATAAATAGAGAAGAGCCTCTCTCCTCTCCTCTCCTCTCCTCCGCTCTGCTCTCGCGCGCTCGGTCCCCGTCTCACGTCCCCCGCCCACCTGCCGGGCAGCGTCCGTCTGTGGTTGTACATGGTGATCCGCTTGCTGCCACCTCGCTCACTTGGCCCGTCGTGAGAGGTTTTTTCTTTCCCCCCTCCTTTGTTGTGACACTCACAACACTCTTCTGTGTTTTATTAAAGGGGATGCCGGTGAAAGAGTCTTCCTCACTTGTAGCCTCTCTTGGGTGATGCTGGGGTAGAACCGCCTCCTTCCCCGCCGCAGGAAAGTGGCGTGTGCAGTCAGTGGTGCGTGCGGGTATCCGTGCCTGGTGGTCCTCTCAAGGGGGCAGTGTGAGGAGCCAGTCACGAGTGCCGCCAGCACCTTAGAGCCCCTGCGTGGCAAGATTCTGGCCCTCAGCGTTGCAGTGAGTAACTTTTGGAAGGAGGTAGGTGGGTCCAGCGAAGGCCTGGAAATGAGGAGGGCTGGAGGGCCAGGGCCTTGAGCCAGTTGTGGGTCGGGCTTTTCACTGCTTCTGCAAAGGTTTGCTTCCTGGCAGTAACTTGCCCCCCCGCCCCATCCTCGCTTTTGCTTTCGGCTTCTTGCCAGTTTTGCATTCCTGAGCTGCAGAATGAATCTGTTAGGAGGTTTTCGGCTCGGCCTCTGGGCTTAGGATTCCCCCGTGCTTTTTGCACTGTTTAAAAGCAAACGCTGAGATGTGTTGGTAGAGGAGGACCTTCCCATCTGATGTGCAAGCAGAACCTGCGACCCAGGACAGCAGTGGGCGCTTGGCTGCTGTGGCCAAGGGCTCGGCAGGGGTCCCCACCGCCCCTGATGGCTGCTGACTTGGAGCTTCGCTGAGCAGCTCTCTCCAAGCAGGAAGCCGCTAACTGGAGGTTCCAGGAACCCCGCCCCCAACATGGCTTGCTTGGCGAGGAGAGAGGAAAAGGGGGCTCTGCACTCCAGTGCTTCACCGCGCGCGGCCTTGGGATGTGGATCACGGCTGGCTGCACCTGAGCCTTCGCATGCACATGTGCCTGAGTCGAGAGCAGCCGCCTGGGGCCCAGGCAGTTGGAGAATGCCCAGTAGGGCATGCCAGACCTGCAGGGTGGGGCTGCGGGGTTCGGAAGGGGAGATCCTGGGCTAGGCTCTTGTGTCGCCCAGGCCAGCGGCTGGAGCGGGAAGCCTCTTCTCTCTGGTATAGCTTTGAAAAAAGCCAAAAGCGGCTTCCAGGCCGCTGCGGGAGCAAGAGCGAGTCCTGCTAGGCACACGGTCTTGGAGAAGAACACACTGGCTCAGGGGCTGGTCTTAGTCACGGGGCGGCTGCCAGCCTCCCACAGAACCCACCTGCTGCGTCTCCCACCGTCGGGGGCCCTGGGCAGGGAAGCGCCCATTCCTGCTGGACAAACAAGGGGCCGGCTTGGCCGATCAGGCTCCCCCACAGCACACGCCACGGAGCGTTCGTGCAGCCAGGTAGGTGGCCTGGAACGATCCAGTTGTGTGTTTTCCACACTCCCTGCACCCCAAACGAGTCCTACACGGTGTGCAGCCAGATTGCTTTTGCATGGTTTTATTCCAGAGTGCCGCAGTCTCGGATGGTGTGGTGGCGCTTCCCCCCCAGATCTTCCTCGGCCTTTGCCCGACGCATGCGGTGTCCTCCGGGCTCCTGCTTTGGTGGGGGTGGGAGGGCCCATCTCAAGCAGGCTCAGAGGCGGGGGGGGCGGGGGCCCCTCACAGGGATCTGGTGTAAGAAATACGGAACGGTCAGTCAGCAGGCTCCACTTCCTAAAAGCTCCGGCAGGATGATCCGCATCACCTAAAGAATCTGCACGAAGAGCGAGTCCTCCAACGCGTGTGCCGGGGCATCTCAGCCCCTGCAGCAGCCCCCGGCGGTGTTGGCCTGTGCCACCCAGCATCCCCCAGCCAGAGGTGCCAGGTGTGGTAGTCCCACACGTCTGAAGAGACCTGGGTTGGGGGTTTGCAAGTGTGTAGTGAGGGGCTTGGGGAAGATACAAAGGAGGAGGGTCCAGTGTGCCACTTCTAACCCCAACCCGCCACTGCATTCAGAACTGGAGCCTTCACAGCAGCATCCAAGTGAGAAAAGCAGGATTAAGAGAACGCAGCACGGATCCCACACGTCTCATGCCATCTGACCCTCCTTAAATGGGCACTTGATCAAGGAGGAGCACGTTAGTAGGCAAGGACGGCCGTTAAGAGAAGCGCCGCCTTTCGCACTGCACACACTGCTGGGCAGCTCTTACCCCTGCAGAGCCCAAGAACTGTGGGTCACGCTGGAAACAAGAGGAGGGAGAGGTAAGAACCCTTCCAAGGCGTGTCTCCCTCTCGCCCCGCCAACACCCCAAAGACCTGGAGCTTTGCAGACGTCCGCAGGAAATTTAGCAGAAACATCCACCCTTCTGAAAAAGGCGCCTGGGAGGTGCTGCCAGGGACTCACCGACGGGGAAGAACCGGGGCATCTTCTCCTTGTAGATCTCGTCGTCTTTCTCCAGGAAGACACAGATGATGAGTCGGTCCACCTGCCCGAGACAGGCGGCTCTTAGGCAGGCGGAAGGGCCACGAGGGTCTGCACTTCCGCCTTTTCTGTGGCTTGTTCTTCTGGGTGGTGCTTGCAGCTGGTGTGACCCACACTTAAAACTGTCCCTGAGCCTTCCCAAAGCTGGGATGTGTTGGACTACAAATCCCAGCATGCCCCAGCCAGTCATGGGGAACCAGCTTATCTTGCTCTGACTTGTGTTTTGCTCGTGGCTCCCTTCCGCCCGAGCCATTGCTCTTTCCCTCCTTTGCCATCTTTGGCATTTGTTTGGGGCCATTACATGCACTCCTACCTCCAAGCACTTTTCAAACATTTTGGAACTTGCCCATGTCTGGCTATTCTGCCATCCATCAGAGGAATCCCTTTTCCGAGGTTTCTCCCTCTCCTCTCTTACCGCTTTCAAATACTTGAGCTGCAGATCCTGGGATCTTCTGCTGGAAAAGCCGGAGCTTTGGCTAGCGATGCCAGAACTGCTCCGTGCTCAACTCTGGTATGTCGCGAACAGTGCAGCGTACAGAACGAGAAGGCACCTGGGGGAACCAGACCCGCAGGCCCACTCGCCCCCGCCAGCTGCCCCGTCTCACCTTCTCCTTATTCTCCTCTAGCCACTGGTGTAACGTGTTAAGCACAATCTCGGCAGCAGCATCATTGGGGTAGCCTGCGGAAAAGAGGCACTGTGCCTCAGAACAGGACTCGCTCTGCCTCTCCGGGGAAGGGCTGGGCCCTCTCCCTGCTCCTTTCCCTGCTTGGCACTTACCAAATACGCCTGTGGAAATGCAGGGGAAGGCCTGGGGAGCACAGAAAGAAGGCCGTTAGCGTGAATGTACATGTGAGAGTATACCTGGCTCTGTGTTTGCACAACTGATGTCCTTCCTTACTTAGCACGGCGCTCAAACGCACAAGTGCCCTGACCACTTTTGCGATGCGGCCAGCCAGGACCGACATATGGGTGGAGAGGTGAGGAGGGCTCATTCGTGGCGGCAGTGACAAATGAACTCGGCACCTGCTCAGAGGCCACAGCTGAGTGCAAGGGGAGAGAAGAGCAAGCCCTGTTAATGCATGACCTGGGGAAGCGGCTTACATTCTGCAGAAGTCTTGCTTTCTTTTTCAGGTTGGGCAGAAAGCGCATTCTGCAGGACTGCCCTCCGCGATCTTTCAGTTAACAGGTACCGATCCTCCGGGTTCCTAACATGGGTGGGCAGAAAGCAGGCCTGGACTTCACTCCCCAGCATTCCTGCTGGGAGCGAATTGTGGAAGGGGAAGCCATGCGCAGGAGTTGCTGAATGGGGCAGGACCTGGGAGGACGCTCGCCAACATTCCTCTCCTCCCAGCAAAGTGCTCAAGCTGAGCCCGCACTCCCACTCTTTGCAGCGGGCCCTGTCCCCCTCGCTCGGCCAGACCCCTTCTCTTGCCCCTCAGGAACATCACTGGGCCCATCGGCCCCAGTGTCCCGCCTCTGGCCAGTGTCGCAGGAAAGTGGCCACTCTGCTATTCCACAGGAACATGATGGAGATGGAGATCTCGGCCATTGTAGCTAATAGGTAAGCTAGGCAGGTAATTAAATGAATTTGCTTTAGCTACAGGTCGCAGCGATAATGACCAATGTATGTAATACAATTACAGAGCAGGGAAGTCATACAATTGAAATTTGAAATCCTTCAATGTAAAATCCTTCTGTTTGAGCAGAAGTCGCTGTTAAATTCAATTAACCTTCATGAACTTAAGCTCTTGTTTCAGATGCAAACATCTGACTGCTGAGTACTCACGAATGGGGCAGACCCCTCCACGGAGGCGTGGAGGATGGGCTGCGTAGTGCACGAGGTTTTGCCGTGCCACTGCTCAGCCTCCCTTGCCTAATGTTGGAGGCAACTTTCCTTTTTAAGCCTCCGGGTCCTCTGGCGATGACGACTTATGCTTTGTTGCAAAGTGATGTTCCAACCTCTCTCTTTTTGGCGGCGGCACGAGCAAGCGTGCTGACAGAGAGAACATAATTTCCTGCCATCCCCTCCTTCCGCCCGTGCTCCAAGCTGTGCACCACCTCCCTCCGCTCCAGTTAATTGAGGGTCACCAATTTTTAGCTGTGTTTTGATCACTAACTGGAGCTACAGAAAATGGTAGGTTCATCTTTGTGCTGTGAAAAAGTCACTCAGTTTCTGCACATAAAGTTGGTGTTAACTAAAGCCCTAACTACCTGAGTGTTTTCTCCACTGGAAGATGTGATTTTGGACTCCTGCTACTTGCCGCATGGAAACAGTGAGCCAATTTGCATAAATTCTCTTGTTTTTCATAGTTCTAAGTTTTGCTTTGTGAAGAGACCTTGAATAATAGGAAACCTTGCTCGGTTATTTGTGTGGCTTTCGGACTTGAGCAGGCCCATCTTTGCATCCATAGGGCCTAGTAACTTGCTTTTAAGAACCAAAAGCTTTTCTGATCCGAAGGAAGCTTGTTGGTGGACAGTTCCTCCCTCCCCCCACCCACCCTGGTCTCCTGAGAAACTGATCCGGCTGTGCCCAATAACCATGAAGGAACGCATGTGGAAACAGCCCCGGAATGGGAAAGGTCTTCCGTTTATGCAAGGGAAGTCTGGAGACTGCAGCCGCCAGGACTCTTGTTCTCCAGGTAGACCTTTTCCTTTGAAATTGACATGTGCCATCAATTCCAACAAGACGAATTATGAAATACACTTTGGGAAAGGCTGACCTGCAGCATTGCTCACAAAAGCCATGGTCTGCCCTGCAGGAGGGAGCGCCCTTCGCACGAGCTCATTCGTTTCTTGGGGTGCAATCCCCATGGCTGCTCTGCATCCCCCCCCCCAGTCGCATCCCCCCACATGGCCCAGCCCCTCTGCCGTCCACTCACCACAGTTCGCAACTTGTTCTCTGCAGCGAGTTTCAGGCTGTTCTTGTAGCAGTTGCTGAGGTCCGTCTGCTGCGCGGGGCTGGGATCCCCCTGTGCGATCGGTCCCACTGTGTGAATGACGACTGTGAGGGCGAGAGGGAGATGGATGGGGGTCACCGCTTGGGAACAGAGCCAGGAAAAAATTCCTCCACGTGGTTTCCGTATGACTTCGTGGCGAGAACGGAGCCGCTGCCCCTGAAGTGGGGCCCTTTACTGCTAACTCTCAAAGGAGCGGCTCTGGCAAGCTGATTGCTCCTCGTGCCGGCAGAACTAGGGTTATTTTGCAAATCTACTCTAGGCGGGTTTTTTATAAATTATTAAGTGACAATGACTTATTTTCCTTTATTGGTTTTAAACGTGCACATTCCTGCCCTTTGGCTACAGCGGGGTCCCCAGGTGCTTTGCAAGCTATTATTCAGGCTTAAACTAGCCGCATATGAAATGTTCCAATCTTTTTTATTTATTAAATGCACACTTAGTAATGCACCCAATTGAGCGGCAAAATAGTTCTTAGCGAGGCTGTCTCCTTCTGGGAGTAGAGACGCAGGATGTATGTTCGTATCACGAGGGATGCTCTAACTGTGGACTCTGGGCAATAAGAACCCAACAAGAGGTTACCCAGGACCTTTAGCCTCTCCTCCTCCATGTTGACGAGAAAATAGGGGATCTGGGAACAACAGCCCTAAATTCTGGCCATCCCCCATGCAGAGTATTGCAGAAGGCTTTGCTATACCTCCACTTCAATTGCATTATTTTAAAAGCCAAAGGGGTGGGGGAGTTGGCTGCCTTACGCCCACAGACACAGGCACACGCACGTACCGACATTTGAAAAACTTTCGCAGCAGTCCTGAATGTGTGTGTGTGGAAAGTGGATACACGCGTGTCAAGTGTCAAGCTGGCAGCCGTGCGAGCGCTAGAGACGAGATGTATTAATTCCCCACTGCAATGCAACTTCTCCTGGCTGTGGAGAGGGCGCGTCATTAAATGCACGGAATGTGCGGATACTGGGCCCAAACCCGTTGAGTCGGTTTCTCCCGAGAGAGCCACGGACGGCCAACATGACGGAGGGCGGCGGGAGGCTGGGCAGCGGAGCAAAATGGGGGGGGGGGGGGGGGCGGGGGGGTAAAGGGGGGGGGGGGGCGGCGCGGGGGGTTCAGGCGCGGCAAGGGTGCTCACGGCCCTTCGCCTGCGTTTTCGGCAGAAAGCGGGGTGCCAAGAGGCGCCCGGCTGGCCACCGGGGGGCGACGGCGCACTAGGCGGCGAGGCTGCGTGGCCGCCGAGTGTTGCCGCGCACACGCCCTCCGCGCGCGCGCGCCTGGCCTTGCCCTGCGGCGACTTCCCGCCCTCCGAGCCCGCGGAGATGGCGCGGGGAGGGCCGTCCGGGGGGGGGGGGGGCGAGGCCTTCGGCCCCCCGCCCGCCCGCCCGCCCAGGCTTGGGTACGCGCTCACCTGTCGCGCCGGGCAGCAGGGCTCGGGCGGGCTCAGGTGGGCCCCCTCGCCAGCTCTGGGGGCTCGCTTCCGACCCGTGCAACCCACCAGCCGGGTGCCGCGGCTGCGGTCTGATGGCCCCTGGCTGGAAGGGCTGCATGCTCCCTCCGAAACTGCTGCCCTTGAACGTGCCTTGCGCAAGGCAGGCAGGGTGGCGCAAAGGAAACACGCCCACCGAGCTGCTGCTCTGCACACGCAGAACGGGGTGCCATCGCCAAGCGGACGGCGGTGCCGCTCCCCCGCCCAGCCCGGCCGGCCAGCCGCGCCGTTAGAGCAGCTTGCACGATTAAAGCAAGCGAGCAATTCAATTTTATGGATTAAAAAGCCTTGCCCACCCCACGAGCCTGTTGCAGCGGAAGGGCTCCCTGGTGCCGGCTGTGGGGGGCTGCGCGGCAGCGTAACGCACCCAGACGCACGGCTCCAGCCAAACGATCCCATTTAACTATGAATTAATGGCCATTTCCTTCCTCAAACAAAATTAAAACCTTACGTGGCTGAAGAAATAGCCGGCATGGGGAAATGCCAGGCGGTCAGCCGAGCGCCCCTGTGCTCACGGGCTGGGGCTGCCTGCTTCCGGGGGCCCAACGGAAGGCCGCGTGGCAGAGGCCCTTGCACCTGATGCCCCTTCTGCGCTCTCCTTGAGGGGCCTTGGAGGGCTTGGGCCAGGCCTGAGGTGCCAGGGGGAGTGGGCGCTCCACTGTCCAGTGGCTGAGCAGAGCGGGGAGGGGGCCCCTGCCTGTGCGCCGCCTTCCGGAGGCCCTGCCTGTCCATGCATCCTCTGCAGCCAGCCCAGGCAGGAGCCAGGGTGCCTCGTCCCCCAGGCTCCAGCCACCCCGCACTAGATGTGCCTGGGATTGTGCCTCAGGCATCTTCCCACCACGGAGCACCCCCCCCCCACGGGCTTTTAGAAAGGGGCTTGACGGGAACTGCAGGAACCTGCCAGGCGGGGGTCCCGGGTTCTGGCCGCACACACTCAATGCAAGCAGTGGTGCCTTGCTGGTCCTCCAGCCCAGGAGAACCTGGGCTCTCTCCCCCAGCGGGGCCTCGAGTCGAGGAAACGGGGCGCGAGCAGGTCTCACAGACAGGAACCTGACGTTCAACCAAAATCTCCCCTCTTACAACTTAAGCCCCTTGGATCAAGGGCTGCCCTCTGGCAGAGCCGCTTCGTCCTCCAATAGGACCAGAGGTCAGAAGAGGGCTCGAGAAATCCAAGGGATTCCAGTGTAACCCACCTGACTATTATTTTTTTGGGGGGGGGGCTTATTCCAAGGCGTGTGATGCTGCCAGCCTCCCCACCCCCCGCCCTTGAAGCCCCGGAGAGCCTTCCTGGGTGCCTCGCATCCTCAGTCATTTGCCGACTGCTGCTTCAGCTTTTCGACAGCCAGATGCCACCTAGCCCTGAGAGTGACTCGTTGGCCCAGGGGACAGCTCGGCTTTCTCGGCGTGCCCGGAGGCAGCTTCCTGGCATGCCGCCCGCCCACCCAGCTCCGGGGTGAAGGCCCTCGTCCTGCTGCTAGAAGCAATCTGGAGCCCCCACTCAGCTTTCGCTCAATAAACAGGCCACGCCGTGCCAGCATCTTGGGTCTGGAAGAGGCTCGAGGGGGGCTTGTCGCTCTGATCTTCACACTGCTCCCCCTCCCTGTTCTCCCTGCATGTGGAAGTAGCAGTGGGGCAAAACAGCAGAGAAGATGCTGGGGTCCAAGCCCCCTGAGAAAATACCCATGGTGGCTGGCCAGGCTGGGAAACGCCTGACTCTCTCTTCCCCCATCCCCTTCTCTGCCCAAGAGCCGGTAGAACTGCTGCCAATCAGAATAGCCAACGCTAGCAGATTTTTACAGAATGGGCCAGAAAAATGATTCTTAAGAAGAGCACAAGCCAGCAGGTAGCTCTTGTTGAGGGAAAGGGTATGCAAGCTTTCAGGCTATGCAGAACTCCTGAGCCTAGCGGAAAGAAAAGGATGCAGATATCACAGAAGTGTGGTAGCCATAAGAAATGGAGCTTTCTCCAGCAGGCTGCTTTCTGTGTGCCCCAGCACCCCCTAATGAGGTGTTGGGGGTACAACGGCTGGCCCCAGATGAACGAACTAGCAAAACATCTTGAGCGGGATGGTCTCATTTCCCTGAGCAGAGACGCAGCAGGCGGGGTCGTGCCTCCCTCCAGGGAAATGCAATCAAAATGCAAATCTCCCCCTGACATGCTGGTGCTGGCCCTGGTAATAAAGATGGATCACTCGTGCAAATGCCATGGCGTCGCCTGCTATAAATCAGCTTCCTGTAGTCGCTTCTGTGGAGGGGCTTCGGCTCCCCCCCCCCCCCCCCCCCCCCCCCCCCCCCCCCCCCCCCC